ATTCTGCCCGAGATCCCGTTGTCTGTTCAAGGAGCCCTAAACACGAGGGAGAAAAAAGTATTTTGATAATTGGCCTCACAAAAGTCCCACTCGATGAATTGCTTTTCACAGGAACAGATTATTATGAAATAAAAAAAAAATGTTTTTGAACTGACTTAAAAAAAAGAGGGTTTCCAATGCGATTGTATTCTTCTCTTTTATTTGTTACTACGTTAGTTATAAACCGAAAATTTTTTTTTTTTTTTAATTTGTAAGACAATTACAGTTTTTCCATTTAGAAATTTTATCAAAATGGAATTTAAGTAGTTTCATTTTTAGATCAAAATAAACAATTTTAACACAATTGAAGTCGGTTTTTGGGAGACACAATCTATTTGTACTAAATCATATCAAATCATATTTATTCGCTTGCTACATGGTACAATAAGAAGTTACGTACAAGAAAAGAGCATAATCCTTTTTAAAAAGCCGGCAGCACACCTGCAATGCTGTAGGTGTTGTGGGTGACCATGGGCGGCGGTAGTCACTTACCATCAGGTGAGTCGCATGCTCGTTTGCCCCCAGTGTTGAAAAAAAAAAAAAAAAAGTTACATATACAGGCACGCAACATGCAATTTATAAAATTAAATATATTTGTTGAGAGTTATAGATACATAATAAAATATTTCTTTCAATATAAACTTATTGCAATAGACCTACATATAATTAATCATCTCAGCCAGAGGGAGACTTTGTACAAAAGTCGTTTGCTTGGGTACCTCTGTCCCGTTCGTGTTTCAACCGTGAAGCAGTTGTGTTTTCATGGCTGTGTTTCGGTTTGAAGGGTGGCATATGGCGTGAATTTACAGGATACAGAGGATTAACACCTGAGTTCTCAGGAATGGCAACGCATGGGGGTATGATGGGCGAAACAGTACACTCTGTTATGTCCATGGTACTGCTCATGTATATAGACGACGGGTACCACTTTCCATCAGGTGGGCCGTCAACTTGTTTGCCATTCTAAGTTGTATAAAAAAAAAATTATCGGTCCACTGCTAAATATAGACCTCCCGCATAGATTGCCATAAGGAACGGTCCTGAGCCACCTGCACCCTGCACCTGCTTTGTATTATTAAAATGTCTAACTTAGAAACTGATATAAATTTTACCTTGATACGTCACCTAGACATGGTGTATACCGTTTATTTTCCTATTTCTGAAATCCATACATACAAAGCAGCTAGCAATAAGCTAGTGGCGTAATACAGTTGCAAAAAAATCCGAAAAATTAATAGAAAATCTTAAAGAACTTGCTTATAAAACTCTAACAGATTTGAATCTCGAATCTAGAAGAATCAAATGGGGCATCCATTAAAATGCGAGACGCTTGCTAAAGCGACGGTTTTATTCATAACTAAGTTTCATAACTATCTTTATGTATTTTTTTTCACTAAGTTAAAAATGATGAAGTTTATTTATTTAATTATTAGTACAAATATGTGTACATGGCGGACTTGATGCTAAAAGCATTCTCTCCCAGTCAACCGTAGGGAAGTGTCAGAATACTCGAATGCGGTACTACTAATTATTGATATACATACACACTAAAATTACATATATAAACGAATATATATATATATATATGAATAACAAATATACTTACATATATATGACATATACTATATTATACACGAAATTGAGAATAATATAAAGCACTTACTGCTCGGATAAAGTAAGAAAGAAGTGAAATTGTTTTTAATTTTAAAAGATAAATAGAAAGTTTTCATGTTAATCAATTTGGTATTAATTTTGATGAGCAATTTCTGAAATAAGGTAATTTTTAATTTACTATTTTGTATATAAAAGTGTGTGTTATATAATAATACATGTCTATAAAAACGTTAATTAACCATTTACCATCAGACAGGTCGTATGTTTGTTTGCTACATTTATGGTATAAAAATATACATACTAACGTCCATCGTGTTTCATTTGTTTTATAATAAAACTAAAGGAACCGTGCAAAGTAAAGTTTGAAAATAAAAATACAACCCATGTTACTAAAGCTTTTTATAGATGAAGGAATTATTAAAATTAGTATTTTTTGAGCTTTTTTACAAACAAAAACTAATATCGAACCTATTTGTCTATTTATATGATAAGTCAAAATCGCTGTGTTTTTTATTCGAGTAGTATAATTTACTTATTTTAATAAGAAATTATTAATTTTATTCCCCTTTCAAACCAATGTAGTAATAGTTAGTCATTATATTTAGTTAAAATCGACGTCGGAAATTTAACATCAAATCAAAAGGAAGTTAAGCAAAAGAATAGCGCAGTTTCCGCAAAATATTTCCACCGTAATCGATGCTAACTTGATCTTGAAACCATTGACCTGGCCGTAACAGGAGAACTTGGGCCAAATTAGTATTCGTTCACCACACTCGCGCGGGGATTATGCAAACGAGCCTCTCGAACTTACCACTTAAATAATATATGAAATTATGCAAAATAACCAAAGAAAGTGCGGTACTGGCCATTCACGAGTTGTAGAAGGCACCGTGATTTGTGAAGTTTCCAGATATCAGCCGTACGTGACCCGTCCGCGGGATATTTGTGGATATTCCGCCTCAACCTGCGGGAAGTTTTAAAGACTCATTCATATTGAATTGGATCCCTCTCTGATACTTCTTTGCGGTGTCTCTAAATTTATATTTTTTTTATACAACTTAGAATGGCAAACAAGCTGACGGACCACCTGATGGAAAGTCGCTTATAAACATGAGCAGTATCATGGACATAACAGAGTATACTCTTTCGCCCATGATACCCCCCATGCGTTGCCATTCCTGAGGACTCAGATGTTATTCCTCTATACCCTGTAAATTCACGCCATATCACGCCCACCCTTCAAACCGAAACACAGCTATGCAAACACAACTGCTTCACGGTTGAAACACAAATGGGACAGAGGTACCCAAGCAATCGACTTTTGTACAAAGTCTCCCTCTGGTACCATTATTGTATATACTTTTTACTTTATACAGGTTGAATTCGAAATCATTATTGTCCTTTTAAAGAGTGTTTATTAGTTAAACGGAACATTTTTTCCTAGACAGTATGAGAGCTTCAATTTTGGCGAATATTTTGTTGGAAAAATGCTTAACTTACATAACAGTATTTTAAAAAGATCTTTATGTTTTCTACTTCACTAGTACTCCTTACAATCTATGATTAAAATGACACTGTCTAATCTTAGAGTTTTTATATTTTTAATATAAATTTAAATGTAAGAAATAAGGATAGTAAGCATTCACTAGTTGTAAAGGTCGTCGTTATTTCTGTACTTCTAATATATCAGCAGAACATGACCCGTTCGCGGGATATTTGTTATTATTTTGTCTCAACCTGCGGGAAGTTTTAAAAGTTCATTAATATTTAATAAATTTTCAGAATTTTTATAATATTTGCTTATTAGGTAAAATGAGTTGCCAAATGTATTGTGTATCTTTTTTTTTTATTAGGTTATGTTTTATTATGTATCTATACCAGTAAAAAATATTGTACAAAATCATTTGCATGGATAACTCCTTGAACCTAAAAAATAGTTTTAACCCTGGATAAAAAATCCCTTATATTCTCAGAATTGTAAGTCCAGTGAGACTCAATTATTAATAAATTATTGATATAAAACATTGAAAGTAATATAAAGTAAAGTAAATTGCAATCCGATAATAAATTCCCTGAAATTGCATGCCACACGGGTGCATCCAGGTTTCTACTATAAACTTTTAAATAAGACATTTCATAATTATGCACAAAGTTGAATGTTAATCTTAAGTGTATGTAAAGATATTTTATAATATATAAGACAACTTAAGTATGTTCGTACGTATCTATATAGTTACAAATTCATGCTATCACGAAACATGAATATTCTATGAGTTTGTTTATTCCCACAAAAGTTTCCTCCGTGATGCATGACGGCAGATATTTTAGGCAAAGGAAATAAATTGTTACCGTGCATTTAAATGGGAATGGTCAATAATGAACTTTATTACTTTCCTTTTAGAAGTAATTTCCTTTCAAAGAGAAAATATTATTGGAAGTTCTTAGCATTAAAACAAATAGCTTTCTTTGTCCATAAAGTAGATTTAGATCGCCGTCTATTATACGATAGTATTTCAAAGTCGAGTAAGCTTTTGAAATTCCACTAGAAATTGCGCCGTTTGATTTCATTTAATATTTTATTTAGAACAGGAATACCTTTTTTTTCTGATAACAAAAAAATAGGTCGTATTCCTCAATTACTGTATCATTCGATATACCCGAACATTCGACTTTCAACATACCAAAGTTTATGGGACTGGCAGTATTAGGATTCAGTACTAGTATTGTGGGAGACCCTCCAGTAGATAAAATGACGACTTCAAATGCTTCGCAGGAAGTTAATAGATGCAGATGGCTCAGGGTAATTTCTTATGGTAATCTATAGAGGAGGCATCTGTTCAGCAGTGGACAGATAATGGCTTACATGTTAATGATTATGGGGGAAAGAGATTGTTTGTAATGGGATTTAGAAGCTAGCTAGTAAACGTACTAGTAATACAATTAGGGTATGTTCTTCCTCTTCGCGGTCTCGGAGAACTAGAGAACTTCGTACTTAACTCCAAGTAAATTCTTCGAGATGCTGAATTTATCTAGAGTTCCAATTCTTTTTATACCACGAAAATTGCAGACAATCTGACAGCCCGTCTGATGATAAACGGTCACTGTAGCCACAGATAATATAATACTATTGCTATAGCCTATGAACGCCTGCAACCCCAAGAGTTAACAACCCTGAAGAAGCCTTAAAACACTTTTGGAAGAACCTCATACTATAGTCTTTAGGGAAAATCTCGGCATGAAGCTCATTCCACAGCGTGAGCGTTTGTGAAAAGCAATCGCTGTAAAACCGCTCTGTATGCGACCCTTTAAGTTCGGTATAAACATGTAACATTTCAATTTATCAACAGCGCGTGGGCTGCGACCTCCGTGTCGGGTCTACCCGTCGAGTGGACGAGTGTGGTGTCTGCGGCGGGGACGGTTCCTCCTGCTCCCGACCGCGCTACCACTGGCTTGCTACTCCCGGGTCTTTGTGCTCGGCTACATGCGGTGGAGGTTAGTTATTACAAGCTTTTCTTTAACTTCAAATTTATCTTAGGTCATTTAAGTCAATTTTTGCAAGCCAAATTAGAACAACTTCTTGATATGAAATTAAGTTGAAATTTTATATAAACCTTATAGTTCTAGTGACAATATTTAATATTGTAATATTTTCAAAATAACTGCCGTCGCAAGTTGACGGTTTATTTTTTATAACTCTCAGCATATGGATATTAATCAAAGATTTTGGAATAGTAATTCAGGAGTTCCATTTTACTTAGCCAACTATATTGTTCATTTAGCAGTTTAGATGCCAAGCGGTTGATACTAAGCTCCGAGTAAGGATCTATTAATTTATCTGAAAATGCCTCGTTTAGACGTAAAATACGTGTCACAAAATATGCTTGGACGAAATGGTAGTCAGAGACTGATGACTAATATGGAGTAGTCAATCTATGAGTGTTAGTGTTAGCACATATACTCGTATTGATGGTAGCGGAATTAGACAAAATAATTGTAATCGAATAACCAGTTATCTACTGCAATATCACACCTAATTCAGTAAAATATATAGGTATATTTTATTTCTGAGATTATTTTGAGATTTCCACAGATAAAATCTCAGATATAGAACAGAAATGTTTCTTTATATTTGACTTAAAATTTTGAATGTATAGTTTTAAATTAGTCGTTCATGAAGTTTCTAGTCTCATCTCTGGAAGTGCTATATTGAGTCTGGAATTCATCTTTTTTTATGCAACTTAAAATGGCAAATGAGCTGACAGCCCACCTGATGAAAAATGGTAACCGTCGTCTATGGACCTGAACAGTACCAAAGACGTAACAGATTATCTTGAATTGTCCACGATACCTATCAAGCATTGCTAATCTTGAGGACTTAGGTGTTATGTTTCTTTACCCTGTAATTTCTTCGCTTCCCACTCTTAAACTCTCGTTTGCTTGGGTACCTCTATTTCATTCGTGTTTCAACCGTGAAGCAGTTGTGTTTGCATGGCTGTGTTTCGGTTTGAAGGGTGAGATATGGCAGTGAATTTACAGGGTACAGAGGAATAACACCTGAGTCCTCAGGAATGGCAATGCATAGGGGGTATCATAGGCGAAACAGTATACTCTGTTATGTCTATGATACTGCTCATATCTATAAGCGACTGTTGCTATTTTACATTAGGTGGCCCGTCAGTTTGTTTGCCATTCTAAGTTGTATAAAAAAAACAACTGCACAAGACAGAAATACTAATGGGACAGAAGTACATACCCCTTATCCTCTGGTAAAGTCTCCTTCTGGTAATTCATCACACTGCAATAACTACACCTTCACGTGTAGAACCACTCAGTTTTCCCCCTTTTTCACAATCATATGTGTGCGCCGTACTAGAGGATGCTCTCGACCGGGCTTATAAATCTGCTAACATACTCCACTATTATTCACCCACTTGACAAGTCCGCTCCGATAGAATGGCCAATAATAATTCTTTAACCGACTTCAAAAAGGGAAGATTTTCAATTGGACTTTACCGCTTTCAATTAAGAACTAGCTTCACAAAACGAATTGTATTTTGAATTGTATATTTTACCAGAGGGAGACTTTGTACAAAAGTCATTTGCTTGGGTACCTCTGTCCCATTCGTGTTTCAAACGTGAAGCAGTTGTGTTTGCATGGCTGTGTTTTAGTTTGAAGGGTGGGATATGGCGTGAATTTACAGAGTTCAGAGGAGTAACATCTGAGTCCTCAGGAATGGCAACGCATGGGGGGTATCATGGGCGAAACGGTATACTCTGTTATGTCCATGGTACTGTTCATGTCTATAGGCGACGATAACCACTTTCCATCAGGTGGGCCGTCAGCTTGTTTGCCATTCTAAGATGTATAAAAAAAATTAAAAAAAAAAACACAAAATCTTAGTCCTTTCTTCTCCGTGGGCATCGTAAGAGGCGACTAAGGGAACTAAATGGTCGAGAGATGGACATCATATCATTATATCAGCCTTTAACTGTCCACTGTTGGACATAAACCTCCCCCTTGGAAGGTTTTGCCAGTAGTTGCCACGCTTAGCAGGCGGATTAACAACCGCAGTCAGGCTTTAGAGATGTTTTAACAAAGACGCTGCTGCCCATTTCTCGCCCTCCCTTAGTCGGTTCTTACACCTACGGGAAAGGAAGGGTGGCCTATTCTATGCCGGGACCACACGGCCACAGTGGTTGCCAACCCGTTTGCTAAGCGTGGCAACTACTGGCAAAACCTTTTTTTATGGAGAAGATTTATGTTCAGCAGTGAACAGTTAGATTATTTTTTCTTATATTAGATTAATTATTATTTATATTAATTATTATAGGAAATATCAAATTATATTTTTGACCAACATTTATAGAATCATAGCACTTCAATAACCAGTAATCCCAAGATGGCTTCTTTTTGACTATTTTTGCATCGTTTTCTTCTAACTATTGTTTTTACTATTGATCGTCAGTAATTAACGTATTACTTATCTGTTTTCGTCTGTTATATAGATTACTGACTTCGATATTGTATAGAATATCTAGGCAGAATATAAAATTAACAATATTTTATACATTACCTAAAAGTTCCAGATATTCTATTCTAGACAATGTCTAGGTATTGTATAAAATACCGGATTATACATATTGTAGGCAAGAATGAAATAGTAGTGTACTTAGATACAATATATTTTAATTATTCTATACAACTTGAACTTATTTTAATTTTATTTTTACATCACTAGCGTATAATTCGTCTCTCATGCACGTTACGTCGTGTCTCCGTGTCGTATCGTGTGTGTGCATCTCCTGTCCCTTTCGCTCCGTACCTTTCACTCGCTCTCCGTCCAGTTCCGTTTCATGCATCTTTCTATCATACTATCCCCACATATACATACATCTAAATATAATATAATAATATACAAGACTGAATGTGAAAATATTTTTTGAACCTCATCTAATTTAATAATGTTGCTACGTACGTAAAATTACAGTATAAAAATATTACATTGCAAAGAATTTAATAACGAGTTTTTTTCAAGAAAAAATATTAGGAATCCCGTGTATTTTACTTTAATACAATTAAAAATGTAAAAATAAATATCAAATTTCTTGAATTCCACTACTATTATAAATGCAACCATTTGTGATATATATATATATATATATATATATATATATATATATATATATATATATATATATATATATATATATATATATATATATATATATATATATATATATATATATATGTGTGTGTGTGTGTGTGTGTGTGTGTGTGTGTGTGTGTGTGTGTGTGTGTGTATGTGTCAAATATAGGCACAAATATAAACTTCTTTCCTTTTTTTTTATTAGTATTTTTTTAATTAGTATTGAGAAATAATTCTTGTAAGAAGTAATGTACAGTGGTACCCTGCACTTTGGTTGGTTTGTTAAAAGAGGGACTGGCTGAAAACCAGCGCTGTGCAGCTGTTCACATTGCGTTGGGACACTCACAGCATCAGCTGAGCCGATTCCTTTTGCCTAGTATGAAACACTTTTTGTATATGTTATTTATATTTTATATTGTAATTGTATGTCAATAAATGTTTCTATTCTATTCTATTTATAGGGATGTATGTTTGTTACTTTTTCATACAAAAACTACTAGTGTAAATTGGACTCCTTTGAGCCTCTCATTTGGGCCATTGTACGTGTGAATTTTTCTTTACCGCGTTTACTATATCGTGAGAGGCGTCTGAGAGAACTTAATGGCCAAGGTATGAGTAGCAACGTCCCTCTTAAAACATCACCAAAACTTAACTACGGTTGCCAATCCGCCTGCCAAGTACGGCAACTACTGACAAAACCTCCCCAAAGGGGAGGTCTATGTTTAGCAGCGGACAGACGTTTAATATGATGGCATATTTACACAAAAAACTAAAAACACAAACTTCTATTAAAGCTTTACTCGACGGTATAAGCCCGGCTGTCAACATTTTTAAAAGTACCTCACTAAATAAACTCAGCCTGCCCTCAAAACCTAATAAAATAACAATTTTCATCTTAATCGACCGACAAATAAAATCGGCAACAAAAACAATTTTCGCCCACCTGATGGAAAGTGGTAATCGGCTATAGACATGAGCAGTACTATGGACATAGGCGACCAGGTGTTACTGTCTATCGGCAACAAAACTTTTGTACTAGTGAAATGAACAAAACCGCCAAAAATCTTTGATCAATTATTTTCAGCGTTTTGATCAAACGACTCAATCAGTCCGACCTATTATAATAGGCGGCATAAAACAAATTACTCCGCCGAATTTGCGAGTGCTAATTCTTATCAGGATATTCATCTTTCAAGGGTTCTTAATTAGAATCGGCCCTCGCAAATTTTCTTAGAATAATGTTGTACGCAGACGGGATACTTGTAGTGGAGTAGCGTGCGGTTTAACGCACTATCTCGCCTTCTTGTTAAGGATTCATTCCCCACAAAACACAAGGTTTGTATTTAATAATAATAATAATTATTATTATTATGATTACTGATATCGTGGTGAAGGATCGGGCACTCTCAAGGGTGTTTTTGGTGGATGTCAACATACCGCGTGACGAGAACCTCGTAAAAGCCGAAATAAGGAAGAAGACGAAATATCTCGACTTGGCTCTTGGGATGACCGACATGTGAGAGTTATATCTACCGAAATTATTCCAATTATTCTGTCGGTGAACGGTCTTATTCCAACCAGTCTGGAACAGTACCTCAGACGAGATTCCGAGGCGGCTCACTCCAGGGAAAAATACATAAAGCGGTGCTCTTAGTTTCTTCCTGGGGCCCTAAACCTCGGCCGACTCTTGTTCCGCCGGGGGTTAGTTTGCCATTCCCTCTCTTTAAGAGGGGAGATGTGAATTTTAAAAAAAATTAAGATAATAATAATAAATAATTCTCATTCAAGTAATCTTAATAATAAGTATTGTTAAATCGTAATTTTTTATGAATCTACCGCCCAGTT